GAAAATGCAGAGAGGGAGGGCGGGCGCTGGTCTGGCAAGGCTAGGGCAGGAGGCTTAAATGGTCACCCCTGCACCAGCCTGGCCTTTCCTCACATGCCAGGGAAAGAGAAAAGAGGAGTGAACACAGGGAGGGAGTGCTCTACTAGCTTAAAATGGAACTATTAAGCCAAAGGCAGAACTGGGAAGAAAGAGAATGTTCTGCCCCTGGTGTTGGCCAGGGGCAAGGTGACCTGCCTAGGAGGGGAGCCTGGCGATGGACAAGACTGAGGAAGCACCAGAGAAGCCAAGTAAACCAGGCCAGGAAACACTCACCACAGGGAAATGGACGGGAAGCAAAGTCCAAGGTGTGATATTTACTCTGCTGAAGGATGACCTCGTCCTTCTGATGGATGAAGGAATAGAAACGGGCCTCACAAGTCTGATGCACAGGGAGTTGGGGGTAGAAGGTTTTGGCCTAGCCACTGACCCAGCCACAGAAACCACCATCCTCAGGTGCCACGGCCTGGTAGCAGACTGCTGTAGGTAGCAGACTGCTGTAGGCTGTGTCTATCACAGACCCAAAAGGTGGAGATGGAGCCCACTGTAGAATATTTTGTCACTTTCAGATTCTATTCAAAATCAACAAGCCTAGTTCACAGGGAGTGAGCCCCTCCCAAAGAGAAGATGTCTATATGAGGGCAGTCTCTGCCCTGGCTGGGTTAGCAGTCCTCTGCCCACCTGTGCCTATGCAGGTGCTTCTTCCCACCCACTCTCTCCCTCTGCAGGGCAGCAGCCTCCTGCCTGCCCGTGACCTGCCGGGGTTTCTCTTCAGTGACCTCCCTCAGCGAAGCTGCTCTCCTAAGGCGGCCCACCTGCAACCATGCAAAGCTGTCCTTTTTGGAGCAGCTCATCCTGCCTGCTTGTGCCTAAGCAAGTGTCCTTTACTCCTCTGTCTTTTCCCTAACAAATCTGCTCTTTAAATATAACTAGTGTGTATGTCTCGTGGAAAAACTCGCCTGGGAACTCACCGCATGCCACTGAAAGGGAAGTGAACCCACAGACCCCACGCTCCAAACCATCACTTCCTTTGGGAGAGTACCAAGAGAGTCTGCGCAGCTTCAGCACAGACATCTTCACAGGAAAGCAGGAGGGAGGACAGAGAGGGAGGGAGAGAAGGAAGGAACAGAAAGGAGGGAGGGAGAAAGGGAAGGGATGGGAAGGAGGTGAAAGCAGAGCTTTCTTGAATAAATGGGCCTTTACCAAAAAGTGTGCAAACTTAACACTTGAGGAACTGGCCTCCCAGTGCCCCGGCCAGTCACCAGCAGCAGTGGCATGGTCTCAAGGCCTCTCGTTAACGAGTGGCGCTCGGGATCCAGCCCAGCAAACAGCACTACTGCAAAGAGCCAGGCTGCCAGCCACACACCGCCCTCTGAGGCTTTGCTGTCCAGCCAGTGGAGATCTTGCCCAGTCAGCAGTGTCTACTCAGTCTGCAGCTCCTCCTGACTGTCCCTATCCTGGCCACACCTGCCGGAAGTCACTCCACAGGGTGCTGCCCAGTGTATCTCACATTTGCTCACCTGACAGAGGCAAATGTACCCTCCCAAGCCCCGCCCGAGGGTGAGCAGTGCTGCTGACCTGTAGTCGCTCACGTTCTGGGGCCCGGCAGCCATGTGACTCTGATCTCAGGGGGAGATCCCAACTCTGCCGAAATTTACCTGATACTCAGACAAGTCAGCTTTCCTCCAGGAGGGTGAGTGATTGTATAGCTTTTCAAATACACAGATTTCAGCAGCCCTGGAAATAACAAGGCATTCTGAGAGTCTAAACTTCCACGTGTTTGCTGAGCACCTGCTACAAGCCAAGACGTCAGAACGGGCCACAAGCTGAGTATTATCTGAGAAGCTCTGGGTCAGGGGGTTGCAGGCCTGGAAATCCTCTCACCTCCACCTACAAGGAAGGGAGGAAAATAGCCATGTTGTCCAAATCAAAGAAACCAGCACCTGTATTAAAGAAATATCCAAATGTTGAAAGAGAAAACGCTCTTCAGAGCAAGCTGGTGGTGCCTACCTGAGCCACTGTCACTGCTCAGTAAAAATCACAGGATTTTATTGGGAGGCACCAAGCCCAAAGTCACTCATGGCAAGGCCACAGGACAGAGAAGGGGCCAGGATGAAGGACTCCTTTGTGGAGTTAGTACACGGTCCTTGGGTTCACTCTGGGAAATGTTTCACCAAAGCTCCGCTTTCAAAGGCAAGAAGCAAGTTTCCAGGCAAATTTCTCCATGAGACACTCAGTTGTATTTAAAGAGCAGGTTTACTGGGGAGCAGGACAGAGGGTTAAAGGGCACTTGCATAGGCACAAGCAGGCAGGAAGAGCTGCCCTGAAAATTTAAGATACAGGTTTCATGGACTCCGCCCCCACTCCAGATACTGGAACTACAAATCCCATCAATACCAGGAGAAGCACTCCGGGACGGGAGGGCAGAGCTGAGCAGCCAGGTTGGGATAAATCCAGACATGTGAGCTCTGGGGGATTCTTGGTCTGGTGGTTCGCGGCTGGTCGTTTGACTCTTGATGAGCTTTCAGTGTGCTGGTGGAGTCCAAGTCAGCAGAACTGGTAGGACACTCTAGTTAATCTGTATTTCTCTCCCTCTTTCCCTGGGTTGTTTCCTTTACCTTCTCCTTGTAAATAAACCCATTATCAAACATGTGTGTGTGTCCACAGTATGACAGAATCTTAAGCATGTGGGTGAGGACCCACAGACAGGCAACCCAATTCACACTGGGGTGCCCTGTAACAAAAGGGACAGGTTTGCTAAGAGAGACCTGCATGGTCACAGGCAGGAGGCCTGAAGAAAGCTGCCTCCCCTGAGGGAGGCCAGCGAAGAGATGCCCGGCATGGTACAGGTCACAGGCAGGCAGGAGGCTACTGCCCTGCAGAGGGAGAGTGGGTGGGAAGAAGCACCTGCATAGGCGCAGGTGGGCAGAGGACTGCTGCCCGGGGCTGGTGCAGACTGCCCTGATATAAACATCTTCTCTCTGGGGGGGGCTCACTCCCTGTCAGCATAGGTTTGTTGATTTGAATAGATCTGAAAGTGACAGGAGACCCCACAGTGGGCTCCATCTCCACATCATTATCTTTCACCTTGTGGACCTGTGATAGACACCCCTACAACAGCCTGCTACCTGCTTAGATCTTATGCTCTGTACTGTAGGCCTTGGCACCTAAGATTCTTGGTTTCTAGAGCTGGGTCAATGGCTGTGTGAATCCCTTCTGCCCCAACTCCCTGTGTGAGTCAGTCTTGTGATGACTCCTTTCTATTTCTCCCTCCATTACATGCAGCTGCTCACCAGAGCCATGGTTGAATCACAGACCAGAGACCAGGAAAGACTCTACTCCTACTGCTCCAGGCTCCGGGGGTGACCTCACCCAAGCTGACCATTAGCCATGGCCGGTGGGCGAGTGGTCAGTCAATAAACACATCTCCTCAAGCCAAGTACACAAGACGCCAGTGTGATGGTTACACAGTAAAGCTTTTGTCTGGCATTTGTCCCAACGGAGCCCCCGGGATATAACCCGTAATGCCTTGGTCTTTCTAGAGTGCCAGGAGTACCATCTTTTGTGGTGTGCCTGCTAGGTCACACCTGAGCTTAAACTGATGCCTCAGAATGGGTGGGGGGTGGTATTAGCCCCACCTGATCTGAGGAGGAATAGAGGGGGGTAGCCTGGAGATTGGGTTCAACCAGAAGGTCAACAATTCAATTGATCAAGACTACAGTATAAAACCCCTATCAGAGCCCTCCCTGGTAGCGCAAGGGGTTAAAGCGCAGCACTGTGACACTAGCCCACACCAGCCGCAGCAGCTTCAGCACGGTTCCAGTCCATCCCCCGCCAGGGCGCTGACCCACAAGGCACAGCCGAAGCTCCTGTCTCCCCCTTTGCTCCCTCAGCAGTGTATTTCAGTGCCTGTTCCTCACTCTGTGTCTGGGGAATCCTCTCACCATCCCTGCACCTCTTGCCTGTACCCCAGTGTTGGATGCATAAACAAACAAATCTTTTGAAAAAATAAAATAAATCCCTATCAAAACTCTGATCATGAGTCCCCACGTCCACATGCAGAGACGATGCTGGGCCTCACTCTCCTGGAGAGCACTGGCTCGCCTTCAGGACGCCCAGACCTCCCCCTGCCTCCCATCCTCCTTTCATTTGCCCTGTCCTGATGTGCAGACTTTATAATAAAACTGCAGTCACCAAAATAGTGACTTCCTGAGGTCTGCATCCTTCTCGCAATTAAATCTAAGAGGGCTGTGGGAAGCCCCTAAGGTAGTCGGCTGTCAGATGTGCAGGTGACCTGGGGACCCCCAACCTGCAGCTTATGTCTGAGGGGGGCCAGTCTTATGGGAACTGAACCCACAAGCCCCCGTAATGCCACAGCCTGGGGAGGGTCAGTGGCAGGGTCAGATAGCACCCAGTACCGCAGAGGTCCGAATCCAGGTCCTCCTGTCTCAGGCACCAAGGAACACGAGAACAGTCTGCCTTTCCAGGAATGTTCATTTCCTTTACCCATACCCTTTTCCACCACCACTGCAAATCCAATTTCCTCTAAAATCAGGGTGCTTAAGACCTAATTCAGGAGCAAGACTTATAGCACTGTAGAGTAAAAATCAAAACATGGACCTCCACTCAGCAGATGTGTGACTTTAGGCAAACTGCTAGGCCTCTCTGAGCCTCGGTCCCCTTCTCAGTAGGAAGTGGGAGGCTACTAACCTGCCCTCTCTATAGAGTCAATGGCACAATTCAGTGATGTCAGTTATTTACCAAGGGTCCAGCAGTTTCTCCCAAGCTACTCCCACCCTACTTTTAAACTTCCCTGTATCCCAAGTTCTCCCACCTCTCTGCTTGCCTTAGAAAACATTTTTCGGTGCTGGGTCCATTGCCACATGCTGGTGTTTTAGGTCCCAGGGCAGCAGGAAGCCAACCATTAAACCAAAAGTGAAAAGCAAGTAACCATTACCTTGAACAAAAAGGACATTTATATTTACTTCAGTGGCTATAAAAGATACCATAAAATATAATATGCAGCATGCATCTTCATGATTAATAACAGATCTTGCAAATTATTCTCTCAGGTCCCTGGGTGCATCCAACTGGTCACTAAGAACAATTAATTTTTTCAGAAAATAAAGGAGTCACACATTATCTCTGGTTAGTGAAAAAGCTGCTTGCATTATAAATAAAGAGAACAGAAAATGAGACTCACATTCTGGGGGGTTTGCTCCTGTGAGCAGGGTGAAGTGAGATCAGAGAAACTCAAATACAATCAGCGTCTGTGAGCATAGTGCTCAGCAAGAACTGGGACCTGCCAAGCCTGGGGTCTAGGGCTGGAGAGCAGGATGTCTGGGCACAGGAGACAGAAGGTGCCCTGGACAGTCCCAGTGCCCAGCCAGGGAGGCCCCACTGCCAGCAGGCTACAGATGGAAGCACAGGGTCCGGACAGGTGACGGGGTTTGGGCGTGGAGTCCAAGCAGCAGTGACTGAGGTCCAGACTGCAACCCCCAGGATGGCGTCCGGTCAGCAAACAGCAAACCAAAGGGTGAGTCAGCGAACAATCCCCAGAGCAGGGCAGGCACAGGAGGAGATGAACACAGACACAGGGGACCAAACCCAATTTCAGCAGAACCTGAGTTCTTGGCCTTGGGCCTCTTGACTCCTCCAACCAAGGTCTGTCTTGGAAGGGGCTTGGGGTGGGGAACAGGAAATGGTCACACAATGAGAGGCTGGTAGGATCACAATGGCGAGAAGCCAAGCAGAGGACAGTAGCATGTGGTGCCCAGATCCACTCTCACTGGCTGGACAACACGATTCACTCCCGACCAAGGTGAAAATCCCACCCACCAGCCCTGCTCTGAAACGCTTCAAGGAGGGTGGCGGGGGTAATGAAACAGTCCCTAGAACACCACGGGGGCTCCCTTGACAGCAGTGAGCTCAGGGAAGCCATGGGGCCTGCTGGGGCGCCGACCCCCCCCACCCTGAGCCGGCTCAGAGACTGAGCTGCTCTCCAGCAGAATCAGCTCCCGACAAGGGCAACGTGCCCTCGGTGGGTGCATGGTCCCTCCTGAGTACCGGAAGGACAAACAGAAAAGGGAGGCACTAGCCACTGGCACAGACCGTTGTGCCCTCTCCCTGGGAAGGGAGGGAAGCTTCCTGCCTGGCACAGCTTGGGGGCACCAACAGGGCTGTGGCACAGGAATTCCAGAGGTAGAGGAGGGACTCCGGGCCACCGCGGGGGGCCGGGGTGGGTGGCAGGAGCACAGGGCAACTGGGCAAGACATGACCAAAGAGCAAGGCGTCACCCCAGAAAGGGGCAGGGGCCAGCGAGTCCGCTCAGTGCAGAGCAGGAAACAGCCAGGAAAGCAGCGCCGAGACCCAGCGGGCCGGCCTCAGCCCCTTCACTTGTAGGATAAGTTCGTGGAGGTTGATCTGCCACAAGCTGAAGACCTCGCTGAAGGAGATCTGGGTCCTTCTGAAGAACGAACAGGTGTTCTTCTTCTGGTGCCTGCAAGAAGGGCAAGAAGGAAGGAGGGAACATGAGATGGAGAGGCAGGAAATGCTGACACGGTATCATCTAGAGAGAATGGGAAGCCTCCAGCTACACAGTCCCACCACTGCCCCACCAGACTTCCAGATGGGCAGCCAGCTGCCCCAAAGGCGCACTCGAGCGAAGTGGGGGTAAGGAGAGGCAGCTGTTTCATGGGGCATCAAGGACCAAGAGGGCACTGTATAGAATACGCCAATGTTTCTCTTTCCAAAGCTGGTCAGGTGGTCCTGGGGGACCAGTCACTGTGGCTTCAGCCCAGCTCAATCCCTTCGACACCAACCAAAGGGCATGTCCAAAATCAGTGTCTATACTGACAGGTTCAAGACTGTTTCCTCTGAACCCTCAGAGGAAGAATAAATCCCATCCAGCCCTTTTGCTGTGTAGACTATTTTGCAATTTTGATACTGGAGAGCGATGTCTGTTCAGCACTTTGCCAGAAAGTCCCATCCTCTGCCTGGGATGATAGTTTGGGAGCTGGCTACAGCCCAGGCCTCCCCAGCCAGGTGAGATCATGCACCCAGGGACAGGTCTTCTGTGTATTTGTCACCTTCAGGCAGAAGGGCCTGGAACTCCACCCCTCCCTGAGGAAGCACCTGCCCCTTCCTCATCAACACCCCAAAGGTGCTGAGGCAGGCAGGAAGAGCTGAGAGTCCTCTTTCCTCACATCACCCAAAGTCACAGCCACACTGGCCTCGCAGTCTGGCTGCTCCTGGGAGATGGTCCTGGCACCCACTGGAGATGGGACCTGCATCAGGGCGTCCTGATTCCACACCCAGGGGCCACTCAGGTGGAGCTGAGACCCTCAGAAACTTCCCAACTTTACTAAGGCTGAGGATCACCTGGGACGCTTGCCCAGGAGGGCGTGGTCATAGAAGCCCCCACCCCAAGGCCAGGGGCTTCCTAGACCCCCAGTCGCCACCTGAGGACCGTAGGCTCTCCGAGCTGTGTACTGACCCAGCTTCCTGCAGACTGGGAGCTCAGCAGGCCCTGGGGACCTGGCAAAATAGTCCACATGGCGAAAGGGCGGGGGAGAGTGGAGGTGAGCAGGCACCCCGGGGGGGTTGCCCAGCACCCACTCACACGGCCAGCGCCCTGATGCAGCAGCGCGACATGTTGAGGAAGGCGCTGGCACTGGCGCGGGTGCCCAGCGAGGCCTCGATGCCACGCAGCAGGTCGTTGGTCTTGAAGATGAGCAGCATCTGACGCGGCACGTGGCTGAGGAGCTGGCTGATCTCGGGGAGGTAGTTGGCAGCGTTGCTGCGGATCTCTAAGTCCTACAGCAGCGACAGGGAGAGAGGAAGACAAGCATGGGAAGTAGGGCCCGGGTGGGGGCCGGTGAGAGTATCGGGGAGCCCAAGACCTGGGGGCGGCGAGGAAGCTCCTGGCGGGTACGCCAGCACACTGGAAGCTCCCCCACAGGGACATTTAGCACAAGGCCTTGGCTTAAAGCCGACGGGACGTCTTGCCTCCACTTCTGGCCAAGCAGAGTACATAGGACAAGAGCACGTCAGCAGGGACCAGGCTGTGTCCCTGCCATGCCGCCTCCTCGTGGTCAGGGTCAACAAATCCCACCCCCCAAACTCCAAGCCAGACTGACTAGAGTGGCAAGACCATGTCCTGCCACTCAAGGTCACGCCACCAGGCAGAGGAGTGCTGGAGTTGAACCCAGTCTTTCTAACAGCACAGGGGTTCGGTGGGGGTGTCCCTTCCAGAGCACAGGGGCCCCAGCTGAGGCCAAGCACATCTACCATGGGGTAAAGGCAGGTCTTCAGGAGTGCCGGATAGCTGGGAAGTCGGGGGTCAAGAAGGTGAAGTCCTGCCATGGGGGCAGAGGGGAAGAGGAGCACGGGGAGGGGCTGTGCCTGGAATCAGCCTCGGCCCAAGCTCCATGGATGCTTGTCGATGTGCAATGGACGAAGGAACAACAAAGAAACACTGAAGAACTGACCCACTGGAGCTCTTAGGACAACGGGACCAGTTGCACCTTGGCCACCAAAGCCCCAGCCCCCTGCTCAGAGGGGCACCCCAGGGAACCACATGATGGGGGGTGGTGCCCAGTAGGGGTCAGTGGCAGTGGGGCCAGGCTGATTCTTGAGCTGGTCCCTGGGGTCCACCGAATCCTGACAGGGAGCTGGGATGGAAGCCTGAAATCTGCGCTGAGCAGGTCAGAGCGAAGGCCACGGAAGTATGGATTCTTACGGTAAGCGGGCTGCAACCCTTGGGTCCATAAGGTCAGGAGGCACTCTGGGACTTCATTCGTTCCCACCCAGAGCACTCTCCCCCTCCCGCCTCCTCACCCAGTGTTTTCCAGATCTTTCCACCTCCCCACCCGCAGCCCACAGGCACAGAATCGCTGACCCTGGAGTGCGAGGCATCCAAAGGCCACCCCTGTCCCTGCCCCTTGCATTCAGGGGAGGGCAGGGCCAAGAGGGCCACTTACCTCAGTGGCAGTGACCGGAGCCTGGCCGATGCCCCTCTTGACCGAGTCCCACGACCGGGCCGTCAGCATGCAGGCAAACAAGGGGTAGAGGTCCCCGGCGCCCAGGCGCTGGCTGTACTTCTTCACCCTCTTCATGTCGGTCCAGATCAGCGACTGCCAGAGGTGGCAGTAATCCAGGCGGAACTCCTCGGTGAGCACCTGCAGTGGGCAGAGCCTGAGCCTCTCTCCCCAGGAAAGGCCTGGGCGGCTCACCTCTGTGAGGAGCACGGATGAAGACGTGGCTGCCACACAATGGCCCTTCCTCCCCCAAGTTCAGTCTCCCTGAGGGCCCATGTGCAAAGCGACTATTTGACCAGCCTTGGTCCCCAGTGGCAGAGATTGACAGCTGCCCGCCAACATCTGTACTGTCTTCTTCCCAGGCTACATTGCTACTCCCTCCTCCTTCCAGGCAGCCCTCTGCCTGAACGCCAACTGATGGGGTGGGACCGCAGCTCCACTTCCAGGTGCAGACCATGAGAACTTTCCATGCAGGCTCCTCAGGGCCCTCACCCGTGCTGTGGTGGACCTGCCCCTGCAAGAAGGACCAGGAAGCCCCAGCCTTTGGACTCCACCCAGCCAGGATGGGTAGGTGAGGAGGCAATTAGACATCAGTTGTACCTGGACCACCATTTGTCTGGGGGCTGTGGGTGACAGCAGCTAGCCTTGAGCTAGTGCACCTAACTTCACAGAGGGCTTCAAAGGGAGCCAAGACGTTGGGGGATCAGAACAAGGAGGATGAGATGAGCAGCAAGGAAAACTCCAGGTTTCAAACCAGGATGTAGACCCTGGAACTGGCAGTGAACTTTGCAACTTCCAGGCAGGAACTCAAGGCTCATTTGAACCAGCTCTGTCCCACATTCCAGAGTGGGGCCCTCCAAATGCTTTTGGTTCCCCAACCCCTTTCCACTAGGTCTCATATCTTCGTGAGGGCTGAGTTAGCCATCCTGCTGAAGTCTTAGCACATTCTAAGGGCAGCTCCCTTCCCAGGGACTGAGCTGGCCTGGCTTCCCTGAGAAGGCAACGTTTTTTACAGTTTACAAAGCACTTTCACACATGCAAGCACATTCCTTAGCTCCTCGCAAGCCAGCCGGAGAGAGGTGTTATCAACCTCACTTCACTGAGGAGGAAGCTGAGAACTCGTATGACTGTGACTTGCACAAAATTGACAGTTCTGGGGGTAGGGCAGGGCCCACCTGCCTCCCGCCTCTGAGGTCCTGGGGGAGTTGGCAGGCTCTGTGCCAGCTAGGGCCAAACTGGGCAGGCGGGTGGGAAAGGCCTCTCCTACCTGGTAGAGCCCATGGTCCAAAAGGATGATCTCGGCCTTGCCAGTGTCCGGGTGCTTCCGAACCAGCACGTTGCCCGGATGGGGGTCGCAGTGCACGAAGCCATTGACGAAGATCATCTCACTGTACATCATGCCCAGGCGGCGAGAGATCTGAAAGCGGATGCAGGTGGGCATCTGCCTTCTCAGAGGCTTCTACTCTGGCCCCTCAAACTGGTGACTTTCCAGAGGAAGCTTTATGGGGCCAGGTAGGCCCAAGCAGTCTGGGGGCAGTGATGGCTTGGGGACACCTGCTTCTCCAGCTCCAGATGGGAGCCTGCTCTGAGGTGCTTCTTCAAACTAACTGTAGCTGCACACAGTGTCAACTGGAATATAGGAGTGTCAGGGGGCACCTAGGTATCAGCATGTCCAAGGTGGCACTTACAGCAAAGTGAAACCAATGCTCCCAGGTTTTCTAAAGGTGGGAAATCCCACCTCCCACACCAGCCCCTCTGCTCTTCCCCCATTTTTCTCTTATTTTTTTGTATTAGTCCCTCGTCATTTTTTTCCCCAAAGCTGAAGTTGGGCTAGACAACTGGAGTGGGGGTCTTCCCACCTGGCCCTTCTCTGAAAAGTAAAGATAGGGGGGTGAGAGTCAGGCCCCCCACCAGCCTCTGGGGCCACCCACCAGTCACAGGCCAGTCCCAAGTGGACCAGAGTCACCAGCCTCTCTCTCCTCTCCCTGCAGGCCCCCTCTGCACCCCTCCCCCGCCACAGCCCAATGCTAATCTGATTTATGATGTCTGCACAGAAGAAATGACACTGGAGAGGCCATTTAAATCATCCTGTCACTGCTGCTCTCCCTGCTGAGGCAGACTTCTTATCTCAACTCCCTTTTTATTAAAGCTAAAAGCCTCCTTGCAGTCAGGGGACAGCTGCTGAAAAGAGCCAGACCTGGGCCTGCGGATGGTCGATGGATGGGTTTCCATGGAACCAAGAGATGTTCTGCCCAGAGACCTGGCACCCCGGGACATACCTACCTGTGGCCTTCCTCTTGACTTCACTGGAGCTCATGGTTACTAACAAACATCAAGCCCAGGGAAGAGGAGCTGGGGCCCTTAGTGTGGGGAACAAGGATTAGGATCAAACTCTTTTCCTTAGCCTACAAAAGTCTTTCCTCTCCAGTCTCATCTTGGATCAATACACCCCAGTCACATCCACTCTTTCTCTTCTCCAAGGATCCCTGTGCCTTCCTACCTCAAGGCCTTTGCACATGATAGTCTCTCTACCAGGAGCATTCACTCCTCCTTCCCTTCGCCTGTCACTTCTCTCTTCCTTCCCATCCCAGCTGAGCAGTAACTCCTTTGGGAAGTCATCCCTGACCTCCCAAACTAAACTGGAGTTTCCTTAAACTCTCATAGGTATTTTGCTTTGCTTTCATGGCACCGGTACACTATTTGTGTCATTATCTGCTTAATGACTACAAAGCCCACTATCATAAGCTCCCACAGTGGCAGGGACTGCCTCTTTTTTACTAAACAGTTTCATTGAGATGTACCTTGCATGCCATCCTCTGGCTTTCTATACACCATTGACCCGGAACAGGTCAACCATGTGAACTAAGGACTCTGCCTTCAACACAAGTGCAACCCTTATCTCTCCATATGTTGGGTGTTTTTGTTTTATTTTGTTTTGTTTGAGATGCACTGATTTTATTTCTCTGATGCTAACCCCAGCCCCATTACTCTCCTCTGAATCCAAATCAATTGACTCGGCCTCAAAGTGAATCAAGAATAACTCAACTTGAGTAAGAACAGCTGACTTCCTTAAGACAGCCGGGAAAGTACATATAGTTACGAGTGCAGATGACAGCTAGGACCGTGGAGTTGAACACCCAGAAGAGCTGCATGGCAAGGACGCGGGAGAGCCAGCACTCAAAGCACTGGGACGCCACCGTCTTCCAGTACCTGCTACTGTGTGACCTTCAACAAGTCACTGAGACTCTCAGCTTCAGTAAAGCAGACCTAATAACAGTGCTGCTCTCAGGACACACTGCAGAGGAGAGTGACAGAGGCAGGGCCTGGCCCCAGTGACGCCCTCCCCCTCCCCACCCCACCCCACCGCTGTAGGTGGTGCCGACTCCTTGGGCCACTGCCTTGGGCCACTGCTGGGTGGTCTGCAGAAGAGGTTTCACCATACCTCTTTAAGCGATGAAGAATCTGGAGCTAAAGGTTTGGCTAAAGCTCTGACACTTGTCCCGTGTCCACTTGTGCTATCATACCAGTGTTCCTGTTGCTTCCCCGATGAAATGAGTGCCCGTGCTCGGTGCAGACCTCGCCCGGCCAAGTTCACAGGCTCAGGCTGAAATGTCTGGGGTCATAGGTCACTCTGGGAGGGGCACAGGCAGAGCTAGGCCTGGGTGAGCCAGCAAATCCCCACCAAGAGCCACTTTTATGAGGCCCTGTGGACTTGCACAGAGCCACACTCTGAAGGCCAATATTTGCCAAACCAATTGCATTTATTAAGTCATAATTCATTTTTATTTGTCAAGGATGCTTATAAGGTCCAATCAGGGCTCCTGATCAGCCCAAGATAAGCAGTGAAGCCAGACAGAGCTGACGGAATTTCAGCCAAAAGGAGAGAAATGACATTTCATTTAGTCTGGGCAGACCTGTCACGGGAGATATATGATCTCCCTTAAGCTTTCTGAAATATTGCTAATCGCTCTGGGCCCCCTATTACTACATTGAAAGATAGCCCCTAGGGACCCAGGGACTAGGGCCAGGGAGCCCGTGCTGTAAAGAGTGACTTGCTGCCACAGGAGGCCGCGACATGCGGCTGAATGAAGCCACCAGTGCAGCCCTCACCTGGGGTCCTCACACTGCAGGATGTTACCAATGTTCAGGCCCACCAGTTTGCACCAGGACACACAAGTAAGGAAGACAGAGACAGGGAAGGGGGCCAACCTGTGCCATCAGCTTCATTCCAGGGCCATCTCGCTACTGCCACTTTGGGCAGGGATAACACAGCAGGAAAGTCATTTCCCTTCTCGGCAAGGGTCAAGGTTCTCTTAGCTGTTAAGTAGAACTAACTCCATTTGCTCTGCTTCCTACAGAGGACATTCCCATATGGCATCACATCTTGGCCAAGATCTCAAGATCACATGTGGGAATGTTGTGTAGATACATAATTGTGATCCGTTGGTTTTTGTGTAGGTTTTCTGGGAAGTGGGAGGTAATGTAGTAGTTTGAGTTATCCCATTATCAACATCACAGTATCATTTTCAAAAAATTATAAGCATGACTCATACAAATATAGAATAGACAGGTGTCAAAGATGGTTTCTTTGATCAATAAAGGAGCAAGAAGGAAGAGCTGGTTCAAAGAGAAGTTTGAGGAACTGGATATTTATGGGCATTTAAGCAGGAATAAAAGTGAGATGCCTGGATTATATACCTAGCTGGTTATTGTCCTGGGAGGCAATAAGGAAATCATAACCTCTGGGGTTATCTTTGTTACTTGGTAGAAATTATTTGCATCTCTACTGGATAAGATCTACAGAATGACGTATGACTTCCGTCTGAGCCCTTAATTAATTGTCAGTAGCAAAGTCAAACAAAAGTGTATTTCCCTAGATGTTTAAAAAAGAAAATCCTTGTGTGTGCTGGAATAATGCGAGGAACAACTCTGAAAGAACGCACTGAATGTTCATGGTCTTATTTCTCAATTTTGTGTAATTTTTCTTAACCTCCCTCCAGAGTTGCATTAAATAGTATCTAATCTGCCTGGGAAAAAAACAGCCAGAGACATGGAAAGTCCCAGGAGAAAGCTAAGGCCACCACTGCACACCCAAGTCTCTTTCCCACCCCACCTCTCCCCCCATAATACTTGATCTATGTCTTATGCTTAAGGACAAAACACACAAAAATAGGTGTCTCTTTGAGATACTTCGTTCCCTTCAGATAAATACCTAGAAGGGAAACTGCTGGGTCCTACAGTGGTTCTATTCTCGATTTTCTGAGGAACCGCCATACTGTTTTCCCAGGCACTGCACTCATTCACATTCCCACCAGCAGTGCACGAGGCCTCCCTTCTCTCCACCTCCTCACTGGCACTGGCTCCCTCCTGGCTTCCGAGGACAGCCACTGTGGCGGGCGGGCAGGCGTGGCACCTCACAGAGGCCTTGACCCACATTCCCCTGGTGGCCAGTGATGCAGTCTTTTTTGGCCACTTGTACTGTTCAGTTCCTCGAAGGCTGCCCCTTGTCCTGTTAACATTGGCATCCGCACAAAACCAGGGAACGCCACCTAGTGAGAGTGACAACAGCTAAGTCTGTGCCAGGCACCATTCCAGGCAATTGCAGGGATTCAGAGCCATGCTCTACCGAGTTCAGGTGAAGGGGACAAGATATAAAAAGGGGGAAGAGAGAGGCTGGCCAGCATAGACACCAGCTTCCCCAGCCCGCTGGCCTGACTCCGTTCTGAATCACCAGGTTACCTGCCTCTCCACTCTCAGGAGGGAAGCTCCTTCCTGGGGAGGGGTAGAGTGGGGGTGACATTGCACCAAAGACCTCTGAAGGGCCCCCATTCATCCCAAAAGGCACTGCCTTTAGAGAAAAGATTCTCAGTCAGAAATTCCGGATTATCTGTCTAACCAAAACCTCACTGTTAACCAAAGTCAGTTAAGCAAGACTCTTACTGGGGAAAAAAAAAAGTCAATGACAAATCTTTTCACTGTTCCACGTAAAATGAATGTGCCACTCACATAAGTGATTTAGCAATTACTCAATGCCTTTATTCTTTAACAGTAGGGAGAGGGAAAACAGAAAAACAAAACTAGGCATCCATTAAAAGGCCAAGTAAAAAATTAATTTAGTAAGTAGTATTTAAATAAAAAAAATTTTTTTTTTGGTTTTCCTCAAACTTGAATAAGCTGCAAGGATTAATTTATCCTCCGCTCCCCACTCCCAGAGACAGTCTGTTTATGTTCCTGAGGGGTTGTGGGGAAAAAGGTCAAGATCTCTGAAAGAACAGGAGGTTGAGGCCCCTGATAATAAGGGAGTTAATATCCAAGCTCTCTTTGCGCCGGGCTCCTTGAGGACCAGCACAGCCTGAAGGACAGAGTGGACCACTCCTAGGGTTTGCTCCCTGCCCACCCCACCCAGGAGAACCATGC